TTCTTGAGTAAAGCATTCAACAGTCATTTGGAATCTTTCCAAGGACCTTTCCATTTTCTGTGTGCTCCTTGTTGCCAAACCACAGTCTCTGGCTGGTGAAAGTTGAATTGCTGCTTCATCTTCATGTTCTTCTTCCATTATCCCTAGATGCCTGTGTACTGCCACCACCATTTCAAGCTTTGGAGCTCGTTGGCAAACCTAAACCCTATTATGAAGTTGGAGAAGAAATAACTTATAGGTGTAAAAAAGGATATGACCAAGTATTGGGGTTTCTCACGATTGCTACTTGTGAGCCGAATCATACCTGGGTGCCTATTTCAGACGATGCCTGTATGAGTAAGTGAATACAACCTTATCTTTTTGCTTGCTCTAGAGATTTCCCCACATTTTAGGGAGCATATGCCACTATTGCAATGATGATTTTCTCACATGAAACAAGACTTTGAATTAAGTGTGGTTTTGCAGGATTTGAGAAATTTTTAGGGAGTCTTTTTCTTGGTTGCCTGTGTAACTGTGAATCTTACATTGCCCTTGTGATACAGTAGTTAAAGAAAATAATATTCCATAAATTCAAAGAGCAAAGCTGAGTTTTGACTTTGATTCAAGTATGTTTTGAAACTGAATTTTAAAATTTCACAATTATTTTCTTTTAGAAAGAAGATGTCCATATTTAGGTGCTCCTAAATTTGGCAAAGCCGATTACCCAAATGGAACTCACCAGTGGGGTGCTCAAGTTCATTTTTCTTGTTCTAGTGGGTAAGTTGCTCCTTACAGGAAATAAGGTCAATGTTACTGGTGCTTTTTGTTTTTCTTCTCTTCTTAAGCATTCACATAAACTTTGTTTAATTTTGCTTTCTGGGTGAAGTTCTACTTCTAGCCAAACAGTCCTTGGGTACTTTATTAGAGACAGGAAATATGTGTAATAAATAAAATGAAGTTGAAGGAAAACAAAGCTGTATACTATTTGCCATACTTAATAATAAGTCTATATAAATGTTAGGAATAGCATACTCACAGTGGCTTGGTTCTTCACAACTAAGTGCTTGTAAAAGCTGAAGTAGCACTCCCAGAAATGGGAGGTAGAATAGCCAACCAAAGACATTCCTCTGTCCAGAGATCTTTGTAAGGTATTAATCAGAT